GCTGCCGCTGGGATCGCCGCCGCCCGCCCCGGCCGGGGGATGCTGCACGGGTCGCGGTGGGCTCTGACCAGGGGACCAGCAGCTGCTTCCTCTCCTCCGGCTCCCAGCCCCCGCGCTGCCCCCGGAGCAGCCGCCTGGCCCGGGGAGACATGACTTCCAAGCACCACTCGGACTGGATCCCCTACAGGTAGGGAAGGCGCTTCCCGCCCACCGGGCAGGGAGCCAGGGCACCGTTGGGGGGCCGGCCTGGCGGCTCCCCCTCCGCGCCTTTGGGGCTGAGCGCGCCGCTTGGGGTGGACAAGGTCCGGAGCAGGGTCCGTTCCCAGCCCTTTTGGCCTCTTTTGCGGGAGTTCAACAGGCTCCGCGCCTTGGCTGCCCTTGTGCTCAGGACCGCAAGGGGCTGGGAGCGCTACTCTGATCACACCGCAGACATCTCGAGGGGCACCCCAGGTTTTCTAGAGGAAAGCGATACTTTCCAGCTTTCGTCTCCCAGGTAGAAGTGGGGGCACCCCAGCAAGCGATTGCCGTTTGTCTCCTGCTCCCAGCCCTCTCAGATTCAGATGGGCGCTCTAGGATGTCACCGGTGGGGACGTGAGCTGAGATGGCCCATCTGAGCAAGAGTCCACATTTGGGGCTCAGTCCTGCTCCCATTGAGCCTTACCTCTGACTTCGTAGGAACAAGTGTAGGCCCTTTGCTCATGATCAATGAATGTCTCTGTACTATCTTCTTGGCAGCCGTGAAACCTACTTTTACTTTGGAGCTGAGAAGCTTTGTGATGGTAACCCACGTGCACTGTTCAGAGGCACTAAGGGTGTTTACAGAAGCAGCTGACAAGCTTTTTGAGGTACCTCGGGGGCCAATGCAAAATCGGTTCTACAGACCATTCCTGTGCTACTTTGTTGTTTGCATTGCCCCATGAGTCCCGAGTGCATCACAGGACTTGTGTCTCTTTCTCATTTTGTACTGGATGAGAGGATCCCATTGAATAAAAGGGTCAGTCACTGGGGGAAAGAAAGGAGTTTAGAGTGAGTTTCTCTGACAGATTAGGCACCTAGCAGAGCATCTTTAGTTTGAATCACTTGCTGGCTTGGTATGTGTTGTAGGCATTAATGGGAAAAACAAAATAACCTTTTGTATAGGATGCCTCAAATACTCCTTTTCTTCTTGCCCCACTGTGCTACAGCACAGACACATTATGGCCCTTATAGAAGCCTGGCAGTCAGTATTAGCTGCCCTCCCTGCTACTGCTGCCATGGAGAAGAGCTGTGATTGCCATGGCAGCGCCAGCTATCCCTCTCTGTCATTGGTTCCTTGGTTGCCATAAGCTACCAAAGTCTCTGTTTCCTGGCTTTCTTTCTGGAGAGGTGTGTGCGTCAAAAGTGTGGTGGGCAGTGCCTGCCACTCTAGAATGGATCCCCTTATCTCTGAGGGCTGCAAGACAGACTGCAAATTGTAATCAGGGCTTGTGGAACAGCGGCACTGTGAAGGTTCTGATCCTGGTTTGCGTCTCAACTGTCTGTGTGGCTGAAGTCATGAGTTTGGGTGCACAAGAGTTTGGATGCACAAGAAATACAGGCTAACAGGTTCCAGAGGATTGGTATAGATGCACATGCTCCCATTTAGTCCCCTTTCCCCATGGTTACTGAATTAATAAATAAAGGAAGATGTTTGGAATAGAAATTCATTTATCTCACTTGATTAAAAGTGGGTAAATTGAGTTGTGGTATAACACTACTATGAAAGTGATATTCATTTGCTTTATTATTTTTAACTTTATACCCTTAAAAAAGAAAGAGTTGCCTCTGTCCTGGCAATAACAGCATTACTGGTTGCTGATGTTGCATCTACAGATTTATTTTGTTGTTGTCCTTATGCATTTGCCATGTTTGCCTTTTGAATGTTTTATTTGATTTTATATTATCTGTTTTATTTGGATCCAGTTGCTTATGCAGTGCTTTGAACAACACCTTCCATTATTACTTATTTTTAAGAATGTACTTTGTTTATCTGACTTCAGTTAAAAATTTCTGAGTTTTTAAATTGAAGAATTGCAAAAAGAAAATGTATGAGAATTTTACTTTAGTATAGTGACTTCATTGTATAAAGTGAAATTTCAGGACTTCAGTTACTGTATAAGTAGTTGTTGGGGATATAGATGAAGATGTTTAGTTTGGATAGGTATATTTACAACAATTGGTAGCACAATAACTATTCATGTTTCACCAGATTCTGTGAATATCAGTTCTTTATATATAGCTAAAGTACTCAACATTTTTGGGAAGATACTCCAGTTTTTAAAAGTTTATTACAGAACACATTTTAAATACTGGTTTAAACAACTGCTGGTTTGAAACAACATCTGGTTTGAAAAGTATTGGAGGGAACTGGTGCTTTGCTTCTTTTATTACCCTTCTTATGTGAGTTACAGCTATCCTAGTGGCTAGACATCATGGTGACAGATGAACTATAAATGCAGGAGACGAATAACTCAGTCCCAAACATGGAGTAAAAATAAGATGGTTAATTATTTAACTGAAAACTGTAATATGTTTCTCTTGGGAGATCCGTACAGATTATAGTCCTAGCGAACATAAGTATTTCAGAGATTGAAGAGTTTAAAAATGTAAGAATGTCAGCATTGAGACGGAGAACAAAGGAAGATGAAATATAGTTCCAAAAGCCACTGGCTGAGTCTGTTATGTCATTGGAGTCATGTAGTAAAGAGCAATGTTCCACAAAATCAGGTTGTTCCATGACTCTTCCCTGCAGCAACCTGACCATTTCTCTTTTTTCATACAGTAGACAGGTGATGCTAAAACTTTGCAGAGGGGCTGATAGTGGCTATGGAAAGGAAAACAAAGCATGATGTTTTGTTATATTTTCCTCCCACGCTGCAGTTTTGGTCTATCTGTGCTTCACAATTCAGAGGCATACTACCTTTGGTAGCGATTCTTCATATTTGCCTCTTGTGGATATTTATCACAGTCTGTTCAGTTTTATTTTTAATGCTCTTTTCTTTGCTATTAAAATTAACTACTGCTAAAAATAATCAAATTCCTTTTGTTGTAAAGTAAATGTTTTGTTCTGATGTATAGTAATGTTATTATGATAAGTTAACCATGATTTATTAATATTACCACAAATTAAATATTAATTAATATTAATAACATTCACGTTGTCCTACATTCACATATTATTTTTCATTGGACAAATGGCTGTACCCTGAGTGGTGGTAAGCACCAACACATCCCATTAAACTCTGTTGCGTTCAGTATCCCAGGGGATCCAGCCGAAAATATGTTTATCCTGTAAACTTGAATCTCTATAGTGTGTTTTATTTCAGTACGAGTAATATATATGAAAAAGTTTTCTGTAAATTGAGGCAAAACTTGCTCTTGTCAGAGATTTCACATATACAGCAAGAGAATACCCTAGAAGTTGTGTACATCTTGTACTATGTTCTATCTGGCAGCAAGACTTACACTGGCTGATCTGCTTGGAGATATGATTAGTTATCTCCTATCTCCTTTTGTATAATGCCCTACTTTTAGTGGTTGTTAGCTTTTAAAGCTGAAAGGTAGGTTGGATACCTACTATTGGCTGTCAGGCACCACCCCTGCAATGGTCTTACTTTCAAAGTAGGAATAAGACCCTCCGGAAAAGGGCACTTTTTCCGGAGGATCGGGGCCAGTGTAGACGCTCTTTTCCGGCTTTTTTAAAAGCCGGAAAAAAGCGGCGGACATTTTTATTTAAATGCCGCGGGGGATATTTAAATCCCCCGCGGATTTCCCTACGACGACTGGTGAAATTTACATGCTCCTTCCGGAAAAGGGGCCAGTGTAGACGTAGCCTAGAAGTTGTGTACATCTTGTACTATGTTCTATCTGGCAGCAAGACTTACACTGGCTGATCTGCTTGGAGATATGATTAGTTATCTCCTATCTCCTTTTGTATAATGCCCTACTTTTAGTGGTTGTTAGCTTTTAAAGCTGAAAGGTAGGTTGGATACCTACTATTGGCTGTCAGGCACCACCCCTGCAATACAGTGTCACTGCTAGCTTGGGGGAAGAGCGCAGGACAGTTAGCATGCTGCAGTCCATAATGACATGTCTATCATGGCCTGAGCTTTACTGATGCAAAAGCTGTAAGACACTGCAGAATTAGAGAAGAAATTATAATTTTAGTGTGAGTTCTAAAATAATGATCTAAATCTATCACTGACATTGTTCATCTGACCAATCTGACTGTACCAGTATGTAGATGCATATGGACTGATTCAAGCTTAGAGGCACTTCTGTATAAAATGTCAGGCTGCTCAGTTGATACACTTTTCTTTTGAAATGGAATGAGTTGGGAAAGGACTACTAAGCAATTCACAAGTCCCCAAAGCACCTAATACATTTGAGTATAGTTGAGATACTGAACTTTTGAGCAGATTAACTA